AAAGCATAGACTTAGACAAGCCAGAAGTTGGGCCAAGCCGATCCAGGTCTCCGATGAGAAAGCGGAGACCGAGCAGCTGGACCACCGAAACAAGGGCGAGTCCACCCCGCCAACGGGAGCGATAGATGAGGAGGTGGAAGTGGAAGTGGAAGTGGAGCCGGAGGCCAAACCGATCCGGCAGACGGTGACCGTGACATCCAGAGTCACTAGGAGACGGCTGCAGCAAGCTCAGGGCAAGACCAAGCCCCGATCACAGACACCACCGAGGAAAGTGAAGCGGAGTAGCGGAAGCCTGGGGGGAAACCCGCCTAGGCCGGTCAAGCGGCCTTTCTGGTTTCTCACCTCAGAGGATGAGCGAGATTCGCCGGATCCAAACAGGATCCTCAAGACCGGACAGACGGCGACCGCGAAGAGGGGAGAATACATGCAGCCCGCAAACCAAGTGCCCAGCATGCAGAGCCTTAGGACGGTTCAGTCAAAACCCGCCCCAAGGTCGTCGCAGGCCCGGGTGCCAAGCCCCTCCATCACTACACAGATGGTAGCGGCCTTACTCCCGGCTCTCTTGCAGCTAAGTACTTGCCCCGCAGTGTCCTTCCAAGATGCTGTCGGGGAAGCCGGAGCCGCGGCCCCAGCTACAGATAGTATACAGCACCGTCCCGACATGAGGGCGATGCGCTACCAGTACCTCCACCCAGGCTACCGCCCTGGGCACTCCCAGATGAAAGTGCCAAGCATCATGCGAACATCTTGGCAGGCATGCTCAGTCTACCCACCTACATCAGCTACAAACTTGACCTCGCATGCTACATGGACAGGGCGCAAGCCACCGCCCTCGCACCCCAACCTCTATTCCGGCAGATGCCCCAGCTATCAACGATTGTGCCGACCGCGGCACCGCGCCCCGACCAGGTATGTCTACTCCACTGGCAACAGGACTGCTGCAGCAGGCCCAACCACGGCCTTCCCAAAGTGTCGCCTCAGAGACCCAGGGCTGGCCCGATTGCTACCAACATGACTCGCTCTGCATTGTCTGCACACAGCGTACGGCTCAGAACCTTCCAGATCCGGCAGTTAAGTCCATCAACTACCAAGCAGCCCCGGACACAGGAGCCGCAGACCTCCTCCGCAAGATGTCAGAATCCAGACTCCATGAGCGGAAAGCAGCGATCTCCTGGACAACCACAAGATTGGCCTGTCCCAGTTGCCGCCTCTGCCGAGAACATTATGAGGAGCGCACTCCCGCCGGTGGCCAACTTCGGCCCCGCTCTGACAGGTGGCGAACGCAAGGCCCCTGGCCTCGCTCCGGCCCAGGCCGTCGCTCGACCGTTAACAAAATGCCGGAGCCCTACAAGGCCTTGGAAGCTGTTCCCCTTATCAAGGGAGGGGAGACGAGTGAGCACATCCTCCCAGCCCATCTGTTTCACTTCCAGGAGATGGACTAAGCAGCCTTCCCAACGGTGGAGGCCCCCTGCCAATCGGAACACACGGCACACCATCCGAGCGACAGCAAGCAAACCCATCAACACAAAGCACTTGAGTAAGCTGAACCAGCTGAGCTACTCCGGTCCCAATGCCGGGGATCAGCCTAGTCATCGGACTTTCCTCCTTGCGCAGGGGCCTCCCCCGCGAATTGGAAGATTCCGCCTACCCAGGCTGATAGTAGGGGTGAGGGTTGGTGGTGCACGTCACGCACCACTGAGACCAGCGAGGAGCCTATTCTGGGAAGCCTAGACACGAGCCTGTCCATGACATCAACCCTCAGAGTCAGACGGCAGCCCTACGGGGCCCGTCCTGGAACGTCAGTGCTCCTCACCGCTCTGCGATCCGTCTGTGCTACAGAGAACGAGTGAGGCTGCCCAGCAGAGGTAAATGGAGGCAATATCGATTGCTAGTGTTCAAGAAGCAAGGCCAGCTGTATCGTGCTATCCTAGCCCTGCACTCGGCCCCCACCGCAGCCTATCCCTCGAACACCTTTCCCGATCCGTATGAGCCCAGCTGCTGTTCGGCCATGAGCTCAGCTACCAAAGGATCGACCTGTACCTTCACCCTCCCGCTCGCCAAGCCCATACAAACACCCCTGACCGGCTCAAACGACCAAAACTTGGCTGGTGGCAGGGACTTTTTATAGGCCTCGCCATCCAGGCCCGACCGACCGGAGCGGCTACTGCACTCCACCGGCAGGTCACGGAAATCCACGGAGCAGCCGGTAGTGTGCCACCACCTCGAGCAGAGCCGACTGCTATTCGGAAGCGAGCCTATAATCGGGCACTCAGGCGAGCAGCTCGGCACCCTGAACAGTATACCACCTACAGAGGCAGGCCCATCACTCTCCACCAACTGAATCGGCGCTACATCGGTGGAAACCGCCACGCCACACAGGCACAGACTACTACCACAAGGCCGACGCGCCTCGTTCGTGACCCAGATCGGGTACTCTTGTTCAGCTGGAACTGTGGTGGCCTATCAGGACCACTATGGGACGAACTCCTCCAGTACCTCGAGCACCTGGACCCGTTGCAAAGGCCACAGGTTGTAATGCTGCAAGAGAGCCACTGGGCTGACCAATGTGCTCAGACGTTTAACTCAGGTCGTTGGAAGGTAATCACGTCCCCCGCCACCGACAACCAATCGGCAGGAGTAGTTACTCTTATAGACCGTGAGCTCTGTGGCACCGGACAACTGCTTCACTCGGACCCAGTTCCTGGACGCCTCCTACATGTCCGCCTACAAAGGCAGGACTGGACGCTCGATACCTACAATCTCTATCAGAGACAGACAGGCCAGGGCAAAGCCACCGCCGATGAGGACAAAGACATACGGTCCTGGTGGCAGGTGACGTCAACTGCCCTCTTCGAGAAGGTGCCTGTGCCGGACCCAAATGCGTCCAGAACGAAGCCAAACCCCCAGCTGATCAGGGTGCTCTTCTTCGCACCCTTGAGGACTACCACATGGTCCAAGGCAACTCCTGGCAAAGACATGCGGGCACGACCTACTACCATCCCAAAGGCCAGGCTCTCATCGACCACGTCCTCCTGAGGAAACCACAATGCGACCAGAGAGCAAAAACAGCCAAACCGATCAAGACATCGCTTGCAGCATGGAGACAGGGAAGCTACCATCTCCCGATCCTCTGCAGCCTCCCAGTTCATCGCTTCCACAGCCTCAATAAGCCCAAGCAGCCCCGTAGAGAATGGAACCACTGGGATCTCAAATACCCGCACTCACACGCCGCCGCAGCCGGCCTGCCTCAGGCTGAAGACGCCACAGCCATGAATGCCTTGCTTTGTAGATGTGCTGCCAAGGTCTTCCCGCCACAGACCCGACCGCAGAGACTGGCGGCATGGCAGACCCAGCCCATGACTATTGGTATTAAAGGAATGTGGCAAGCATATGCACAGTGGAAGCGACACGCCCGACGGGGGCGCGATGCTATCTTCGAGGCGTGGCGCAGCTATTCGAAATTCCGGAAAGCACAGCGGGACTTCAGGACGGCAGGCAAGCAGGCCCGCAAACAGTGGTTCAGTGATAGACTGCAGGACTTGCAGCAGGCGGCCGCCAGGAAGGATATGAGAGCGCTCTTCGCTGGGGTGCGCACCATGGCACCCAAGAAAAAGAAGAGTGAAATCCAACTAAAGGACAAGGACGGTTATCTGCAATCGGCGGAGGTGCAATTGCAGCAGCTTCGCACGCACTACCAACAAGTCTATAAGCGCGAGCCTCAGAAGCCTCCACCAAAGGCACAAGCCCCGCTCCGCCTCGAGGTAGAAGAGGACGAAGTTCGACAGGCCTTGTCCAGTCTTGTAGCCCACAAAGCCACACCACTCCGCGTCAACAGCGATGTGGAAGGGCTGCTCAGATCTCCTGGCCCCCTCTTTGACCAAATGGGCCAACGACCTTCGTGCCGTGCCTAGCTTATGGAAGGACGCCTGGTTGGTCCTGATACCGAAAAAGCTGAGGATCGTCTCTCCACGCGATCTACGGCCAATCGGGCTGACCGAGGCCAGTGGCCGAGCCCTGTCCCACATTTTACAACAGCGTCTGCGGCCGCATGTGGAGAGGTACCTCCAGGAGGTCCCCCAATACGCCTATCTACAGGAGAAACACACAGGAGTGGCAATAGCCCGGGCCCAGCACCATAACATGTTGGTTCAAAAAGCCTGTGAATGCAAATCCAGGTCAGTGATGGATGCATACGAAAATCAGCCTCGACAGCAGCAAGCCTTCGCAGGCTGCCAACTGTCGCTCGATATGTCAAGTGCCTTTGACCTTGCGGATTGGGGACTGATTCAAGCATCCCTCGAGGACGCCAACATTCCAGAGGAAGTCCGCGCCTGGACCTCGGATTGGTATAGCGCCATAAAATACCACATCCAGCACATGGGGCAGAGGGAAGAGGTGGAGGCATCAAGAGGCCTGCGCCAAGGCTGCAAGTTGCCCCCATTGTTATGGGTGCTACTAACAGCCTACATGCATAAACAGCTTGAGCCGACACTCGATGCTCAGTGGCTCTCACAAGGCGTCACCAAGTTCGCGGATGATTACCTGCTGCAGGACACAGCCGAGTCCTATCAGGCCTTAGACCGAGCGAGCTTCCGATTTGCCACAGTCCTGGATTCTTTAGTGGATCACGGTATGTGTATCAACACCAAGAAGTCAGCCTTCCTTATTCAATACAGGGGACACTTCGCTCGGAAATGGGTGCGACAGCACACGGTCCGCACCCTGGAAGGTGACCACATCCGCATCAGAACCCCACGGTCTAGGCTGTTCGAGTTCCCTATTAAGGATCAGCACACCTATCTTGGGGTAATCATCAGCTACCACTCCGCGCCAAAGCACACGATAGCCCATCGCATTCGAGAGGCTAATGGCACATGGCAGAGACTGAGGACAATCCTGTGCTCCCGCAGCTACCTTTCTGAACACGACAGGGTCCGGCTGTGGAGCGCGACCGTCCTCCCCACCTTGGTGTACGGAATCTCCGCCTCATCGCCGGGCACCAAAGACGTCCAGCACATGCAGCATGTCGCCACCCGACATCTCCGTGCAATAGCCCACTCATTTGCGCACATAAGCAAGGAGTCCATGCTCAATCTCCTGACTCGATTGAAGGTGGCGCCCATCCAGAAGAGACTCCAAGAGGCCACAGTCCTCTGCGAGACCCTCTTTCGTTTGGAGCAGGCACAACACCCGATGTGGCCAGAAATTCGGGAGCAGGTGCGTGCCACAGCCGCCACACTGCAGGCGGCTCAGACCTGCACCGACACAGCGGACTTAGGGGACCTCGGAGTCGACAACCATGCCTGCAAGGAATGTGGGCAGCAGTTCAGGACCTTCCGTCTTCTCCGTATTCATGAGGCAGCCTACCACCAAAAGAAAACCCCGAAGGAGAGTGGACCCACCTTCGACAAGACGGTGCACGGGTCTGGTGGCCTACCGATCTGTTCCTTCTGTAAACATGACTTCCGTCGCTGGCATAATCTGTCTCAGCATATACGCCGGAACAGGTGCCACGTACTTCGTACAGGAGCATGTGCCGAACGCAGAGCCCTCAGCCGGGACACCAGTCTCCGGGACAGGCCCCTCTACCAATGGCCTCCTATTCAAGAGGCTCTTGGACAGCGCGGCTGGGAACGCCTCCTGCTAAACCAGGATGTCCAGGCCTATCTGAGGCATTGCTGCCCACTCTGCACCCAGTGGCATGCAGACACTACCAGTCTTAAACGCCACCTGGCTACCCAGCATCCAAGCTGGCTCAAGCACCAGGCCGAGGCCAAGCAGCTCATGCGAAGCTTCCGCAGGCATACCGTCCTTCCCTGTAGGTACTGCGGCCAAAGTGCGGTCAATAAGGATAGACACTGGTTTCAATGCCCTGTCATAAGCATCTGACAGGGAACAACCGGGGGAAGGGCAAAGGCAAAAGCCAGGGCAAGACAGGGCCCAAAGGCAAGGGAAAGGGCAAAGGCAAAAGCAAGCAAAGTCCGGTGAGCCCCTGGACCAACGGCCACAGCTGGGAGGACTACACACGTGGTTCGGAGCAGCCCACGCCACCGTGGGCAAGCGAGGGCTCGAGCCAGTGGACGGGCGACAAGACCCAGGACCACCTCTACAAGCTCACGCAGGTGGTGCTCAGGCAGGAGCGAACGATCGCATCCCTTCGTCAGGACCTGGTCATGCACCTCTTCGTGAAGGGGGGCGAGACGGGGGGAGGGATCATACCGATCCTATTCAGGACGGCAGAAGTCTGGAGGGAGATGAAGGAGCAAGCGCCCAACAAGCTCACATACTCCCTCAAGATTGCGATGTTCAAAAAGCTTCTCCTGACGTTGCACGAACGACTGGAAGCCACGGCGGCAAACCAGGAGGCCCTACAGGAAGCCCGGCGGTTGGGCTGGCTAGACGAGCACGGCCACTGGCGGGTACTTCGCTGGAGCCACGAGTCCCAGAAGCTCGAGATAGTCGAGACAGCACCCTCCAAATCTACGAACGATCTCTTGCAGCAGCTGGTGGACATCCGGAAGCACGTCACAGAGGACACCCTGCACCATTTCAAGAGTGTCAGGAAGCTGGTGCCCCAGCCCACGGCGCAGTGGATACAGTTTCAAGTGAGGCCGGGAGGAGCCCCGATCTGGACAATCCTACGGGAATGGGTGGGACAAGCGGCGTGGCACACCATAGGGTGCCGGCTACGCAAGGACAGGCCCCACTACGACAACACGATCGAGGAGCTCTACCAGCTGAACCGATGGTGAACAAGCAGGATACCATCAAGGCCCTCAAGGCCATACTCCAGCTGTCCCTGCAATTTTCCACCTCAATGTGCTACATCAACTCCACCATCAGCAGCCTCCTTTGCACCCTGCTTCAGGCTCGGCTTCATGGGACTACTACCGTGACAATAGCCCCGTGCCTACAACCCTTCTGCCATCCCAGGCCGTCCCAGCATATCACTAAGGTCACCGCAGGGTTACAATGGTCTCTGCTGCTTCAACAGTGGAGGCACATGCACCAACAACATGATGCAGCGGAGTTTATCCACTACCTGTTACCGAGGATCGTGCTGGGGCAAGCAATGGGGGAATGGCAGGCGAGGGAACTCAGAGCCAACAGCATCCGTGTTCTTGACAGTGGTAACCTGTGCAGCCCGATCCCTCTCGCTA